AAACTGTCATGTCAAGGTAAGTGTAAAGCTGGGATTACCAGGGGAAGTGTTACTAGGAAGGGTGGTTTATTCCATGAAAGTGTCCTGTTTATGAAAACAAATTACATGGTAATCCAGTTATTATATACATACTCAAAGTAGTATTACATTCTCAAACTTTCTTCAATAATGAATCCAGACCAAACAAATGTACATTGCCCAGCAAAGTATTTCTTTACATTCTTACCCAAACACACAGTCATCATGTTTCTGAATAGCTCCAACTCTCTCAACTCAGCTTAACTGAACTTCCTGTTTAGTACAATATCACAAAGAACAGGGTGGAGAGGTGAGCAGGGAGCAGTGGAAAGGCTAACTTTGCTGTGCCTGTGTGTTTCTGGAGACACACAGAATATTAACATATACAAGAGTGGCTCCATAGGACCCTGCAAGGGAAAGAGCCACCCTAAAACAGGATATTGGGGTCAGTGCTTGGAGGACCAGCTGATTCTGTAAAAAACTACAACTTTTAAACATCGAAGGGCAGTATCAATTGTAAGTAATTTAATCAGCATTTGAAATATCTTAAAAACCCTTTGACTTTAATATCACTTTAAACTGATAGCATATCAGTTGAACTACAGTAGCTCTTCAAAACTGGAGCAGGCTAAATCTGGAGCAGCTGCTCATGACAACCGATCAGCTTCTCTCTATCATTTTCAAATCTTAACTGAACAAACTGAAGAGAGAGAAAGAAATTGGTTGCCATGCACAACTGCTCCAGATTTTGTCTGCTCCAGTTTTGAGAAATTCCCCCCATGCTTTCTTGTAAATAGTTAATCACACTGTGCAGCCTGTGATGCAGAGAGATTGTGGGGGTTGTAGTGCAGCTACAGGTAGAGATTGTACTGTGAAGGACTGTAAATACTACAATTTCCAGAAGGCTGTACTTTGCAACAGGAGAAGTGGGCTGAGCGAGGTTTCCGGAGCATGCTCAGTTGGGGAGAGACCAGTGCACTGTACAGATTGCTGTGTATGGCTGGCGCTGACGCAGGGGAGCCATAGACATTGTGTGGAACTGCACAGGGGGAGTGCACCCGTAGAGAGGACTCTGTCTGGTCAGCTGTGATCATTGTCTGTCGGGCAACCGTTTCTGTGGACCGCAGTGCAATACCTACAGTAGGGATATCGCGGCCTGGACAATCGGCTGCGCCTGGTCAGTGAGAGATTCACAAGGTGTCAGGAGGTGCCAGCGGAGTTATCTTCAGCATCTTCTTGTGTCCAGAAACTGTCTTCAAGGTGCTACTACTGCAACAAAAACCAAAGAGGGTCGGTTTGAGAGGAAGGTGACGTCTGCCTCTCGCTGATGAACACTGCCACTGCAGAACTGACTCTGGAACCGGTGAGAGGTCTTTGGCCATTTGCATTAAGCATCCTCACTACTTCTGTGACACAGTATGGGCCCCAACGAAGGCTAGCCTAGACTATTGCTCATGGCCAGAAGTATAGAGAGCTGGGGGATATTTAGGACTAAGACATTAGCAAGCCAGTCTCTAAAGTCAGCGATAACTGTTTAAACAGCTCAGTACTTTATATGTTATCTAATAAATAGCCGCAGCTGCAGTGTGTTTGAATACTAAAGTATACTACTGAATGCTATTTCTTCCTGTTATTGTGTTTACTTGTTTATTGGCTAATCATAAGAAGTTATTTGCCTAGTAAAATTCTTACAAAACTTCACAAGGTGTGTTGGTGTGCTGTGGATCCTGTCTGGGTGGTGAATCCTAGTTAGGGCAGAAGTACCGGGGTTATTCTAGCAGCTGCTTCGGGGGTGAGCACTACATATTTGTGTATCACTCAGCTGTAGATCCTCAAATCATCTCTGAATTGGTGCTGACACTGTCCTTCCTTCTGGAGGGTGGCTACTTTGTTTCCCGCGGACAATGTGTGTATTGTAAAGTAGCCACCGCTCCAACATTGCTCCCGTGATGGATTACAATCTCATTACAAATTAATAAACTAAACGTGAGAATTTAGTCCATCACGGAAATGAGCTTAGGGTACTCAAATGCATGTTTAAGTTTTAACTCCTAAGTTTAGTGTCACTTTAAAATACATTTAATAATTTTAATGAATAAACAACTGGAATAAATGGTGATTTATATCATCTGACTCTGTTATTGTATAGAAGTTGAGTGAACATTAAAGGTTAACTTAATATTCTTATTATTATCGTTCAGATAGTCCAAAAAAGACTGCAACTGTTCTCTGCACCCTCTCCAAACCATAATAATATCATCAATATAACGTTTGTAAAACAACAACTGTACTGGCCTCCTTTCTAATATCGTTTCTGTTTCCCATTTGAACATAAACGAATTAGCTATACTTGGTGCGAATTTCGCTCCCATAGCTACGCCAGATTTCTGCCAGAAGAACTTTTTTCCAAACCAGAAATAATCACTGTTTTTTAATTTTTTTTTTTTTTTTACTCTTTATATCTGATCATTGTTTTAGCTCGGCACATTTAGTTATTCATTTTCCACGTATACACACTCACAGTGGGTGTACATTCCAGTGCCTTGTAGCTGTTAGCTTGCTTATTGGCGCAGTTCATTCTTTATATTGACTCTGTTAATATGACCGCAATCTCTGGTTACAGCCATAGTTATGGTACCCATTAAAGATATGTCTGTCTCAGAATTAGAAAGAGTCTGGCCTGCAGCCCAGTCTTCATGCTTAGCACAATGTCCATGCTTTGTGTACTGATAATATTTGTAATTTTGTGGTAATAAAGGAGAAAGTTAAAGATAACTTAGTATCCCTAAATACAAAAAAAGCCTAAGTGTAACTGTAGCCCTACTGCTGTGTTAAATTTTATACAAGATGTATTTCTACCCTTAACCCTAAGATTTGACCTAACCCTAGTTTATCCTTAACCATAACTCTAGTGTAAATCTAAACCTAGTCCTAACTCTAGGTGTGACCCAAGGCCTTAACCCTAATCCCAGCTCTAAAGTTAGCCCACGGCTAGTATCAATCCAAGCCCTAACCGTAGCTTTTCTCTTTACAAAAAAAAAATGCAATTATTACAGAGCAGAGCAAATAGCCCCCCTTGCCCTCTTGTCTACTAAAACGGAAATACCCCTATGGGTCTCCTTAGATGTAATGGATACCCATCCTGGTGTCCAATTTGCCATAGCTCACGCCCTCACACAGGCCCTCCAATTTAGGACCCGCCATGCGACACACTTTAAAGGTATGGGACTCGGTTAAATACACTCGCCGCCTAATCTCCCCACATGTCCCTCTTCTGTCACTCATTCGTTGTCCTTTATTTCACCCTGGTATGGTCAGTCCAAAATCGTTTTCCTGATTTGACGGAAACTGGTTTTCAGGATGTATTCTCTATGCTAACACCCCAGGAGATTTGCTCCTTTACTCAACGCAAAGACTCTTCCCAAATACCACAGTCTGAATTATTCCGGTACCTCCAACTTCATAACTTTATACAATCATTATGTCAATCAGTTACTACACCTTACTCTATTACTCCCTTTCTACACAGATGTAGAAAAGACCAACACTCCCCTGGTCTAATAACCCTACTCCTATCCTCACTAACCGCACATATTTTACTGGACACTTTGCCCTATCAAACTACTTAGGAAGTAGAGTTAGGCTCTTCAATACTGCGCACAGACTTGGCGGCAATTTGGAGTAATATCAATTCTTGTTCCCGTAAAGTTCTGACACAGGAAAACTCATACAAGTTGTTGCTTCGCTGGTACTATACACCGGCCCACATCCATAAAATCATCCCCTCTTATTCTCCCCAGTGCTTTCAAGGGTTGCAGACAATTGGGCATTATGAAACATATTTAGTGGGACCGTGCAAAAGCTAAATGCCTGTGGAACCGAGTTTATGCCTTTATCAACAATGTCTTGGGGTGTAACTTACACAAAGATCCTTTGGAAGCGCTATTACATGAACCCATGATGGGAGTACGTAAACATCAGCAGTGATTAATATCCCACATTTTCATGGCTACCAAACAAACCATAGCCAGATCCTGGAAATTCCCAGTGCTTAATTTTCTGGACGTGTCAGGATAATGTGCATGGGCATCGGTGTAGACTATGGAGAGAGTGGAGAAGAGAGAGGGAGGGGGGGGAGGAGGAGGCAAGAGGGGAAGAGGGTCCCGCCCGACCCTCCAAAAGGCAGAGAAGAAAAGAGGTGTAATAATAAAGAATAGTGAGGAACGAGAAGGAGTGGAGTTACTGCTTCAACGCTTCACATGCCGCTGAACCTCTGAACAAATGCCACATCGTCCAGGTTTTGAGGTATCTTGACATGTCATCCCTGTTGGAGTGGATAAGTTCCTCTATGGTTGATACCGTATCTATTCGGGAGAGCCACTCCCTAATCGTTGGTGGGGATGGTGACTTCCAGTGTCTAGGAACCACCGTTTTTGCAGCGTCCTTGGTGTCCACGGGGAGCTGGGGAGGAGGTCGACGAACTTCCGTTCATCGATCCCCTCCCCGTTCTATGGGACCGGGAGCGATGCAGATTGCATCACTTCCGGTCCCTGGGCTGTCAGTTCTGAGCTCCTGCAGCCCAGCTACAAGCTATTGATGTGCGATCTGCACTTCAATAGCTTATTTCCAGTGTAAAGGTGACACTGGGGGTCTTTTGGACCCCCAGCATCACCTTAAAGAGTACCTGTCACCACCATCTGCTATCACATGGGGGGGCTTGTAA